CTACTGCTTCACATTTGGGCCTCATTACCCAGACCAGCCATCGCCGTGGGCCTTTAAGTAACAAAGCATCACCTGACTGATTCCCAAACGATATCTATGCTGATGTATGTCCATTCCTTCAAGAATCTTCGATACAGCAGCTCGATCGTCGAGCGCATTATCGATAGAAGAGTTCAGTTCATCTTCGACCAAACATCCAAAACGACGGCGGAAATCACGAAACGAGACCCGTTCCGGATATCCTAAAGTCACTTCGAATCATACCACATTTCGCTGACATCGCCAAAGTTCACCCACCTCTGTTATTGGCTCTGATTGAATCGATCAACAGTATTGAGCGGAGTTGACCTCGCACAAACGGCACGTCGATTGCCTCATAAGATCCGGAAGCTGAGCGCATATTTGGAGATGGCTGGATGCAATGCACAAAGTGAGAACGATGGCCGCGACGAAGCGAGGAAAAAACGTAGTCCTGAAACAAATTTTGTTATTGCAGCGGCCTCAAAATCTAGCATATGAACGGTAACCACCAGAAATTGCTGGAACTGAGTTATTATGTTTTTCCAATGAGTAATCTCCTTTACCCTACACCTATGGAGCACTCCTACCTGAACATTTTCTTGAGAATTTCAATTTAAGAATATTTAACATGTAAATATTAATATATAGCAGCACCCATGTAGTAGTAAAAAAGAATGTTTTTCCTTTAGTTCGATTGAGTGCTTGGCCGCAAAACCTGTGATTGCCAATCCGCAAAAGATATGCGTGTAATTCAACAAATTTTTGAAATGCTCTGACAAAAACACTCAAAATCCAAAGCACTAAGGAAAGAAATGGAGCAAAAGAGCTACTACTAGCCTTACTTCATTAACAAGCCATCCTAGTCTGTGAGATGGCTGAAAATGAAGATAAATCGTTCTGTGTTGCAGACGTCAACCTATGTTCTAGTATTACCCATGAATACACTTCTACTAGAATAACAACAATTATCGGATGATAATGCTCCTACACAGAGCTTGAGGAGACACCCAAGGCCTGGATACATTAGTGTTTTTTACTTTCCAAAGACGACCACCCACTCCGAAGAAATGCAGTATTTGGTTGGCTCGGCCGCACATTGCGTTTTAAGAACCAGTTTTGCTCCGCCCGCTATCGCGCGCATCACACGGCAGGCTTTAGCGAAACTGGAGGGTCCATGGAATATCAGCATGTGGTACTCCATTAACCCCCTCACTATCAAATGTGTTAGATTTTTCCCAGTCTCGCTGAAGTCCATGGAGAATACGCGTGATAACGTCTGGAGCTGACCTGGCATATTTTCTCACAACTGTAAACATCCACCATTCTTCCTGAATTCAGATAATTTAGCGGTGAATAGGATTGCAGTCAGTCTCGAAATGAAAATGAAATATGCCTATGTGAGGAGCTAAGGCTTATCATTTATTTACATTCACCATTATTTAGAACCCCGAAAGGATTAGCGGTTTAATGAGTTTGGGCTTTCTTGATAGGAACGAAAGTTATCATTTGCTGAAGACTTGTTGAATTCATGCAATAGACTGCTATTAAGTAGGCTGGTCATACAATGATACAGTGTGCACGTACCACTACAAATACAATTTGTAAGTAGGGACGCTCCAGTGTCAGCGCAAGCCACGTAACGGAATCGACGACTTTTGCGTTCTGACGCCCCTTATCAGCCCTTATCAGTTGTAACCACTTTCCATCACCTACCAACAATGTCCCCGTCCCACCCCACATGACACCTGCGAGTATGGACGCTGTAGTGTCAACGCAAGCTGGGTAATGGAATCGACGACTTTTGCGTTCTGACGCCCCTTATCAGCCCTTATCAGTTGTAACCACTTTCCATCACCTACCAACAATGTCCCCGTCCCACCCCACATGACACCTGCGAGTATGGACGCTGTAGTGTCAACGCAAGCTGGGTAATGGAATCGACGACTTTTGCGTTCTGACGCCCCTTATCAGCCCTTATCAGTTGTAACCACTTTCCATCACCTACCAACAATGTCCCCGTCCCACCCCACATGACACCTGCGAGTATGGACGCTCTAGTGTCAACGCAAGCTGGGTAACGGAATCGACGACTTTTGCGTTCTGACGCCCCTTATCAGCCCTTATCAGTTGTAACCACTTTCCATCACCTACCAACAATGTCCCCGTCCCACCCCACATGACACCTGCGAGTATGGACGCTGTAGTGTCAACGCAAGCTGCGTAACGGAATCGACGACTTTTTGCATTCTGACGCCCCTTATCAGCCCTTATCAGTTGTAACCACTTTCCATCACCTACCAACAATGTCCCCGTCCCACCCCACATGACACCTGCGAGTATGGACGCTGTAGTGTCAACGCAAGCTGCGTAACGGAATCGACGACTTTTGCGTTCTGACGCCCCTTATCAGCCCTTATCAGTTGCTATCGCTTCCATTCATGTACCACCATTGTCCCGGGACCACACTACATAACACTTGTAAGTATAGACGCTCTAGTACCAATATGAACGACAAAACGAAATTGGCGATGCTCGCTTTCTAGCCCCTCTTATCAGCTATTATCAGTCGTTATCAGTTCCTATCACGTACCACTTGAGTCCCCATCCCACCCCCTATAACATATGTAAGAACCATGGCGCTATCGTTGCTGTGACCCGAGCTACGAATTTCGTGACAAACACACACACACACACACACACACAGACCTACACACACACACACACAGACATACTTAGCGAATTATATATAGTAGGATATATTACAAAAAACAACTGTGACCAAGTAGGCTGCTGCTTTACTCACAAAAATGTCACTTGGTTCTAATAGCGCAAGCAAAATATCTTACGTGCCCTTCCCACTTCCATACTTGGACAATCACAACTCTCCGTGGCTATGAAGCACCAAAACCCAAGCATCGCTCTCAGAACATCAAGACTATCATGACTATGACATCTCTTATTCTCCATACACCATTGCTGTTATAACAATGTTCCCGCCGTCCTGCGACCACGGAGCGAAGCGAAAGCAACTAAAGGGCATTCAGAGCCAAGTTATTCACTTCCTGCTTGCATTTGAAGTTGCGCTACTTTAGCAGGACGTTTGACACACCCAATTACTTACAGAAAAGCTCTTTACGACAACAGGGATCGTTAGTGCTATTTGAACATTAGTGGCAGACAATAGGGAAAAATCGGTTTTCCTATGGATAAAATTTCTCTGTCATTTTAAGTTGAAATGATTACACTATTTTGCAATGTGTTTTCGATAATTTTCCCTCATGAATTCTATACACATACATAAGATGATTCCAAAAAGAAACTTTTTAACGACCATTCTCAAAAAATAATAGCCATAGGTCCTCATAACGATAGACAACGCATATGCACGGGCGCGGGAACCTGCAAAAACCGTTGCTCGTTGACCAGAAACATGCATCCATTAGAATCCGCTCGGATTTCTCACGGATGTTGACGGCCGCCCCTCTCGATCCATACTGATCGGAAAATGCTTACACTAGCTCCCTCTCATCGAGCAATTACTCGTAGATGGTGCCGAATTTCCTCCCAAGATCAAGAGTTTTGAGAATTGGAAAACAGAGCTTCCAATCTGCTTAAAACTAGTTTCGAATACAAATCGTTATCGGGATATTTTGATTCGGAAATTGTGGCCTGAATTACCAGACACTGAACTGAAAAAGAACTTAAAATTGTAAAGGAAAGTTTCAGAACAATTTTTTTGATGGAATGAAAGTGGGGCAAACATGGAACCCGAAAACTACCAGGAATTTACCCACAAATCATTTTCTTCTCCCATGCAGCTGGTAGGCTAGATAGACCCAGCTGATGGCTAAGCAGCAAGGCAAACGTTACATGCCAGAGAACAAGAAGCGCGGCAACAAAAAGTGATCGGCACATGTCAGCAAAAAGCCAAGAATGAGATTAACGATGGTACTATGATTAGCATTTGAATGCGCGAATGCTTCCAGAGAAACGGCGACGGACGAGCGCCGCCGGACTCGATCCGTACTGGGCGACCATGTATCACGATTCCTTGTCCCTAATGAGTGTAGCGCGCTCAGTGTGGCAAAAAAGCTGCGTGGAGAATATCAGAACAGTACTGCACGGGAAACTGACTTGAAGATCAATTGCAGCCGCTTGAAAATGCCAACGCTCGCTTTCCAGAATAGTTAACCCACTGCGGCCCATGAAAACGTCTATCTCTACATCTTCCTACACTTCAGGGTTACAATTCATGAGTATCACTATTAAAAACTTGCCTCTGGTAAATGTGTTTTCCACGCAGCAGGTCCTTAATACAAGGGGATCTACTGCGTTACGGGCTATCCGCATCGTTTAAGAGTCGAACCTGGACCTCACGCCTACCGGAAACATGCGTTATCCATTAGCTAAAGTTCTCAGCTTCACGGTTCGGAGCAAGTATTGGCTAACCGGTTCACGATGTCATAAACGCATGCGAATGCTAACACGCAACGGTGAATACACCGTTTTCAGCTGAAAGAAGGCAGTATGTTGCCTCCATGACATAGTGGATACCACACTTATCATGTCCACAAAGTCCAGGTTCGGCACCCGGTTGAGGCGATGTACCTAACGAATCAAACGATTCTCTTCAATGTGCCCGTACCATTCGCAATGCTCTAGACATTACACCCCAGCACGTTTACATTTACAACAAAGTAAGACTTTCTAAACAGTCTGTAGCCATTTCCTCGAGACTACGCCGCGACAGATTGTCCGAGATCTGCAACGAAACCTATTCCTGCTTCGTGACTCACATTACGACTCAGTTCGTAAGCTTCCCAAAGGAATAGGGAACAAGCGGTGAGGAGCATCCAATATGCCGAGGTATCAAGCTGAGACAGTGGCTTTACAGGAGCCCCTTTACGCTGTCTTCCAATTCATAATGGCCTATATCAACACCGAACTGATCTAAGGCAAGAGTTACACTTCGCACTTGCACACACACAATTCGCGAGCGCGGCTAGAACGCGACAACTGTACGCGCGAATTGCGATCGCGAATAAAGCAACCTTCACTAAACTCGATCAGATACCTTCTCCTGCATTTTTATTGCACTCTTCCTAACACTCCCTACCCTCCTCACTCACCATCAACGAGGTCAGACCGCCACGCGATTCCGTGGTGATTCGTGCAACGATCGCAAAATATGGCCCCTGCCTAACGTTTTGAATAATACACACATTAATTGCCTCACGGTTAGAAGTCTGGAGGGTTTAGGGGGGATGAATAGTTCTTATGGTTTCCGCTTTTATCATCAGTTTATGGATTTACTGATTTCATGTCGCTAACACTATCTACGAACTACATATCATGAAAAACCCTCGCTGAATAAAAGAA